AGCTAAGTGCTTAACCAACGTTACCACCAGAGCTCCTAAATGAACGTACACAGTCCATGTGAAATTGGGTGAGAAAATATTTCCATTTTTATATAAATTTGATTCCATGTATTCAACAAATATTTTAGCATGCCTGCTGTGTGCTGGGACCAGAAATACAAAGATGTATCACACACAATCCCCACCTTTAAAAAGCTTAATCTAGTGCACTGTTACATACTGAGGAACTCTGGTAGCACAGTGCCTAAGGCATTTGACTGCTAACCAGAAGGTTGTCAGTTCAAACCCACCAGCCGCTCCTCGGAAGGAAGGTTGGGCAATCTACTTCTATAGTGATATTGCCTCAGAAACCCAAGGAGGGGTCACCATGAGTCAGATCCGACTTGACAGCAGTAAATTTGGTTTTTGGTCACATGCAGCTTCCATAAGAAGCCCACCTTGAAAGCCCTTTACCCAAATAAATCTTCCCAGTCAAGAATCCATACATTACCTTAGACCATCTGGAAGACCTTCATCTGATCTGGAAGCACACAAACTAGAAGATTCCGGAGGACTGGGGGCACTGGCCACACCACCAGCTACTTCAGATGCTGCCATCACGCTCTGTACATCCAAAACCAAATTACAGGCTACAAGTTCGAAAATAATACAACAAATGTGTTGTTCCCCCTCAGAATGTCCACACAATAGAGTTGTTCGAGGAAAGAAACCAAAAAAGACCCTGAAGCTCCAGGAGAAAATACTTGAGTATTCTGTAGTAGGTATTAAAGAAGTCACTGCAATAGGTCCCAGTGGACATCAATCCTTGGGACTGACTGATATTTATATAAGTGTCTAGGATTCTTTTCAAAGCTTTAATTTTCACTTTTGGCAGAAAAATGTAGTCATTTAAAATAAAAGTCTGTGAGAATCTTCCAAATGGTCCACGTATCTACCTTGCCTAAACACTATTTATAAAATAAAAAGATGCATTTTTTTTGGCTTAGTATCAATTATACCTCATGTTTTTAAATGATTTTATGGCTGTTACATTAAAAGCTTCTTCTATTCATTTAAATGAAGTTTTTTTGGAGGTATTTGTGTGTAAGAGAACAAGCATTACTCTATTGGACAATCTAAGTACCTTTTATCTTTTCAATGTGCTCCCTACATGTGGGAAAAGTTCGATAACCACTGACTGAGGAAAGCAGACTCTTCAGAGTTACTGCACTGGTGCAAAAATGTGCGAGAATCTCGTTGTTAGCTCTAAGCATGGAAATGAGAATCTGAGAAACATGGTGACACAAGTAAGGGAGCCTGGTAAAGGTCCTTCTTAGATCAAAAGGTCACCTTCTATGCCGCAGAACAAACTCATGGCCCTCTGCAGTGAGGAGAAAGGAAAAAGGAATATCCCTGGGAAAAGGGGGAATTAGAGTTTTTGTTCTTAATAGCATCACAGGGGTACCCCCTTGGGAGCCCTGAAGAGCGCATAGGGCAGGTACAGAGACCGGGCCGTGTCAACACTTCAGTCACCATCCAGAAACCCTCTGTGCCTCAGCTTCCCTCACTATACAAAGCTGCTGAAAGAAAATATGCCCTACATCGCCGTTACTGCTCCCTCAGGTGCAAACATCCTGCAAGTAACAGAGCCCACGGTCGGGAGGTCCTAGATGCCCGGTAAGGGAAATCCCAGGGCATGGGTCACATCCAAGTCTGTGGCTAAAGAGCCCAAAGAGGTAGCGAGTACATCTGGTTGGAGGTTACAGCGTGGGGTAGAGTCCAGTTTCAAAATGAACCCCCGCACCGCAACCCAGCAGCGACCACCAGAGAGGTGGCGACGCCTGGAACGGCAGGTCCTTGGGGAAGAACTGGGAACGGAAGAGTAGGGGACAATGGGGAGAAGAAGCGCCGAGGGGCAACCGCCACCCTCAACAGGGGACTGCTAAGCTGGCTGCTTTCTCCGGCCAGAGCCAACCTCCATACCTTCGCTTCTAGCCCCTACCCCATTACCAGCCTGCGACCCACTTCTAGGCCAAGACCCCCGCCCCCGTCCTCTAGCACCTTCCACGCCCCCTACCAGGCCCCCGCCCCCAACCCTCGCACAGCAGCCCCCTCCCCGCGCGCCCGCCCCGCACACACCTCCGGCGCCGCGCGCCCCGGGAGTGAAGGGGGGAGGGACAGGACGCACCTGAGCGGGCGGAGCGGGGGGAGGGGACGGCCGAGCCACAGGGGGAGGGGTCGAGCTCCGGCCGCGCGCGACACCTCCCACTTCCGGCGGCACGAGCGAAAGGGGGAGAGGTTCGCGCCGTGAGAGGAGAGGCCGCGGTAGCGTCGCACCGCCCCCGATGGCGCCCTCTGGCGGCGAGCGACGGGACCGTCTAAGCGGCAGGGATACTGTCGAAGACCCAAAGATAGAAGTGGACTCTCTAGGATCAGAGGGAAGAAGGGAGATCTGACCGCTAGAATGAAGAAGTCTTGGTAGAAGGATAATCTCCTCTAGAAAGATTACAAGGAGAATCGGGTTCATAGCGGTCAGAGGAAGAAGAGGGACGAGGTGTTTTTAAAGGTCGCAACCGAGATGCCCTTTCCAGAGGACGCCATGAAGAACAAGCCTATGGAGAGGGACTCTCTTGTAGATGTCTCGAGAACTAGCAGTGGAGCCCCGCAAGGAAAATCCAGCAAGTCTGTACGCTCCTCTCTAAGTAGAGGATGCCAAAGGGAGCCAGCTCCTCCTCTGTTGCCGGTTGCTCCCGGCCGGTTGGGCCTGGTCACTATGACCCGCCGCTGATTGGCTGCGTACCTGGGGCGGAAGTGATGCTACTGTCACTGGGTCCTCAGGTTCCCGGGAAGCCGCGAGTTTCCGCAAGGAGGCGGCGGCAGCAGCTGCGGCCAGGAAGGTGAGTTGGGAACTAGGTGGGGGCTGGACGTTGGAAGTCTGGGTGGCCTAGAACTGAGGGAAGCCAGTGGCTGAGGTGAGGGAGCTGCACAGAGATCTCCTTCAGTTCCAGGGTGGGGAAACGCAGGTAGTCGGGGCATCCCTTGGATTCCAGTATAGCATGGGTTCCTTTAAAGAGAGCGGCACATTGCACGGAACAATCAATGCCTAGGAGGGAGAATCAGCGAATCTGATCCCTGTACCTGACCTGGTTTCTAGGAACACAGGATGTGAAGTCTGCAAAGAGGACAGTAGTTTGGGAGCAGAATCTTGGTCTCCGGACTGCCACTATTACTCTTACCTCTTGGCAACTAAGAGCTGTTAAGATAGGCCTAACTGTTGGGTAAGGTTGAGGTCTGCTTTCAGAGGGAGTTTAAGGTTCCTTTCCCAGAAGCCTGAGGGTAAAATGCTTTTCTGCCACAGCTAGATAAGGAAGAGGTCGGGTTTCTTTTCTCTTCTGAAAATCTAAGGTGGGATCTACTGAGACTTAAGGAGCCTGTCTAAATCTGGCTATCGAACAAGATTTTGTTTTATTAAGTAGGATGTGCAGATGGGGGAAGACACCTGCATATGTTGGGACAATTGAGGGTGCTGGGAGGCAGAGGGAAATTTGGGAGGGAATATGCTTGGGAGTTTAAAAGGAAAAGAGAGAATGAGATGTGGAATGGAGGTTTTAGAAGGAAATGATGTGTAGCATGAACTCTCACCTGCCTTTCCAAGGAGTTTTCAATAAAATACCCATTTTCCTGTAATGCTTAGAGAGCAGAGGCTTCTGAAGGAACCCAGCCACCAATAGGTACACATATAATCTGCCCCCCCCCATTTGTCTGTCCCTGACCCCAGGGTTGCCCAGGAGTTCTAATTTGGTTCTTTTCTTCTTTGAGAATTCCTAAGATCTGATGCCCTGGTTCTGTCAAACCATGGGTGGCAGTCCCAGGTTTGAAGCTGCTCTCACTTCCAAGCCAACCTGCTGATCTAATTACTAGAGATAGCTCTTTAATGTTGCTTTTCAATCATTTCTTCTTTCCTGGATGCCCACTTGCCCTGACTTTATGCCTGCCTGTTCAGTTTCACTTGCATTTTGTGACTTTTCTCCTGGTTCCCCCTCCTTCTTGCCTACTGTTACTTCCCCTGGCATACTTAACAGAAATACACAAATCAAGAAGTTAGTACAACTGGGACTTCTAGGAAGCTTCTACATTTTCAGGAGGGGTTTTTGATAATGGTTCCAACCCTCTTCTAGGCCACTAGGGGAAAAAAAAAAGGAGGATGGGCATGGTGGTCAGGACGAGATGTAGGAATTCTGGATTTTGTACTCATTTGGCTTCACTCTACCAATTCTGTCACCTATTTTAGATCCCTGGAAATGATACTTAAATCATTGGCCAGTTTCTTTGGTCACAGGTCCTGGAGTTCATGTGTAGCCTCTGCTTGTTTTCCTGGGTTTGATGTAAACTGTTTCTTCAATTCTTGGGGCCCACAGGTCTGCGGTCTGTGGTCAGAGATCAGAGACCTCACTACTCACGGTGAAAGTGATGCCTTTTCTCCATTTGCACAAAATGAGTGTGAGGTGGTTAGCCAGACCAGGAGCTCAACCTCACAGAGAGTCCAGGTGGGAATGGGGCCCCAGTGTGGGGAGTTAGCTCTGAGGACAAGTGGACTGAGGAGTCAGGTGGGACAGGAGGTTGGGGGAGGGGGTGCCCTCCTAAAGAACAGTCGTGATCCTGCCAGTAGTTTGTAGAATGACATGTAGTTTGAGCCCTTTTAGTGACAAGAATGGGAAGGAGCAGCATGACGCCTGCCAGCAATTGACAATTCTCCTTGATTATCTGGTTTAATGGGGATTGAGCCATCGTGCCCTGAGAGGTCATCCACTGGGCTTAGTACTGGCCCACACTCCACCTGGGGGCTTAGCCCTGCTGGTTAGGGATAAACATGAATAAAAAGAGACTCAATTAAAAAGGAGTGAATTGGGACCTTCCACATATAACTCATTGATAGTTCAAAGTCTCCTTTTCAGATTCTTTCAGCTGTCAGCTCTTTTATCTCTGTTGTCTTTTCTCTTTGTCTGCAGCCTACTGCTCTGATGCCGAAGGGGAGGCCCAAAGTGTCACACTTGGATGCCCCCCTGGGCCTGCCCTCCTGCCTCTGGCTGAAATTAGTTGGGCTCTTTTTACTGGTTCCTTGGGTCATGGGCCTGACCGGGACAGGAGGGCCTGAGGCCCAGGGTCCAGGGGGGCTCAGTTGGGCTGTGCATCTGAATAGCCTGGAAGGGGAAGGGGAAGAGGAGACTCTGGACCAGCAGGCAGATGCCTTGGCCCAGTCCGTGGGGCTGCTGAATGCTGGACGCATTGGGGAGCTCCAGGGGCACTACCTCTTTGTCCAGCCGGCTGGGCACAGGCAGGAACAACAGGTGGAGGCCATCCGGCAGCGGGCAGAGGCTGTGCTGGGCAGTCATGAAGCAGTGCTCTGGCACTCAGAGCAGAGGCTGTTAAAGCGAGCCAAACGCAGCGTCCACTTCAATGACCCCAAGTACCCTCAGCAGTGGCATCTGGTGAGTCTAGGTTTGAAGCTTTTGGCAAAGTTTTTGGATAAGTTCTGGGTGTCTTTCTCCAGTGGGATTTACTTAAATAATTAATATTTTATCATGTTTTCAGTGAAGGTTTGCGTAACAGTTTAGGTTCCCGTTCAGTGATTTTTGTTCAAGTTATTCAGTGACATTGGCTACATTCTTATAATGCATGAACATTCTTATTATTTCTGTCCTGGTTGTTCCATTTCCATTAATCTCTGCCCCCTTACATTCTGATCTTTGTTTTAAAGTAATTGTTCACTGTTTGGTCATGTATAGGTGATTTCTTTTTCAATTGTTTTTGTTTTTGTTGAGAATGTACACAGCAAAACGTACACCAAGTCAACAGTTTCTGCATGTACAATTCTATGACGTTGGTTACATTCTTTGAGTTATACAAACATTTTCACCTACTTTTTCTGAATTGTTCCTCCCCTGTTAACATAAACTCAGTACCTGCTCAGTTTCATGTCTTCTAATCTTTTGAGTTCCTATTGTCAATTTGATTCAATATAGTTCTTGAAAGAGCATAATCCTCAAGACAAACATTTTTCACCAGTTAAGCTAAACTATTATTTGGTTTTAAGAAGACTTCCAGGGATAGTTTAGGTGTAAGGTTTAAAGTTTATCTTAGAGCACTAGTTCAGGGGTTCACCCAAACTTCATGGCTCCAGAAGGTCTGGATTCCATGAGAATTTGAAGTTCTATTCTGCATTTTTCCCTTTTTGATCAGGAGTCTTCTGTAGAATCAAAATGTTCAGGAATGGTAGCAGGGTCCAAACATTTCTTCTGGTCTCATGGCAGAGGAGGCAGCTGTTCATGTAAACAATTAGCCACACATTCCGTTTTCTCCTCCTATTCTCATAGGTTATTTTTTAAAGGAGCACAGTACTTAAGAGTGATATTCATTATTTTTTTAACCTATTTGTTATTAGCTACAGGGTGACCTCAAAGTTAGTTTCAGTTCAAGGTTTGAAAAGTATCTCAGGGCAATAGTTTTGGGAAGTCCTCCAGTTTCAATCAGTCCAGTAGGTCTGATTTTTTTGTTTAGGTAGTTGAGGTTCTGTTCAGTATTTTTCTTCTATCTTATCAGGGCACATCTGTTGTGGCCCTGATTAGAACTGTCAGTAGTAGTAGCCAGGCACCATCTAGTTCTTCTGCTCTCAGGGTAGACTATTTTTGTCCTATAGACTAGTTTCCTCTTTGAGTCTTTGGTTTCCTTCTTTCTCTTTCTCCAGGCAAATAGATACCAATGGTTGTTTTAGATGACCTCTTGCAAGCTTTTAAGACCTCAGATACTACTCATCAAAGTAGGATGTAGAACAGAACTTTATCAACTATATTATACCAATTGACTGAGATGTCCCACAAGACTATGTTCCTATTCCTGTACACCCAGAAAACCCTTCTGTGAGGTATTTGGTTATGTTTGGGAAGTATTTCTAATTTTACCCCCTATGTGACTATATAGGAGCTCTGGTGGTATAGTGCCTAAGGCATTTGACTGCTAACCAGAAGGCTGGCGGCTCAAACCCACCAGCCACTCCTCGGAAGGAAGATTGGGTGATCTACTTCCGTAGTGAGACCACCTTGGAAACCCAAGGAGGGGTCACTATAAGTTGGATCCGACTTGATGGCAATGAGTGAGATGTAACTATATGCATGTATGAATATATGCATATAGTCACATAGATACATATACATGTATATATGCATACAGCTACAAATACTGCAAAACTAAGGAGCTCTGATGGTGTAGTGAGTGGATAAGGCACTTGGCTGCTAACCAGTAAGTCAGTAGTTCAAACCCATCAGCCACTCTGAGGAACCATCAGGATGTGACCTTTACTTCCTTAAAGATTTACAGCTTCAGAAACCCAGTGGGGGTTGCTGTGAGTCAGAATCACCTCAGTGGCAGTGGGTTTGGTTTTAATAGAGTTATGATTAGGATAAATGAATTAGAACAGCATCTGACACATAGTAAACACTATGCTATTTAGATATTAATTAATAACATTATTGGCACGATAATTATTTTATCCAATCCTTAACTCTACCTGCTCTTCACCTTGTATCACCTGTGAGTGATGCCAAACTTTCCTAGAGATCAAGGCTGTGGCAAAGCTTTTACTTGCACCCCCCTCCTTGGTTCTATCCCCACCTAGACTTATTAACCCACAACCTTTGGTGGTTGGCCAATGTTGAAAGGAACTGCTAACTGTAACTTTGTTTCTCTGTGGGCTTCGTGGTGTGTCACTGGATGTCCAAGCCTTTGGGAACAGTTCCTGTTACTATCTCTCTTTCAGAATAACCGGCGGAGCCCCGGCAGAGACATCAATGTCACGGGTGTATGGGAACGCAATGTAACTGGGCGAGGGGTGACTGTGGTGGTAGTGGATGACGGAGTTGAACACACCATCCAAGACATTGCACCCAACTATGTGAGTGGCCTGGGAATGACTTCCACTCCCATGTCTTACCTTCTTCTTGCTATTGCTTCATGCTTATCTCCTTTCCTAGAGGTCTTTGGGCCAAACAAAAGGACCTGGGAGGTGGGATGGTGGTCTTCCTTTTCTCCCTCTCCCCAGTCAGCATTCCAGAGTGGCAGTTAAGGCATAGCCCTAGTTCTGACCCCAGCAAGGGAGAGCAGTACCAGTGGTACATCCCCATTCTTGTTGCCACTCTCTGCCCTGGCAAGTATGGAATGGCCTTTATAAGCAGTTTCCCTCTCCACAGTTCTGAGTACTTCCTCTCTAAAGCCTAGCCTTAGGTTGCCCTAAATCTCTTATCCCAGATTTCATAAGCCAAGAAAGTCTCCTGGGCACATTCTTACAATAGACAGGAGAGAAGTTTCTACTGAGAGCTGTGGCACTTCTCAGTTTTACCTGATGTGTCCTCTGCTCATATATGTTATAGCCTGTGTGGTTTGCAGAGAGGGTGGGCGTGATGTCCTGGCTTGGAGCCCCAAACCTCTAGTTCGCTCTCTCTTTGAGCTGCAGGACCCGGCCTCTTCTAACCATTGAATGACTACATATCTCCTCCTCTTGCTCCTCCCCCCACCGTATTTCAGAGCCCTGAGGGCAGCTATGACCTCAACTCTAATGACCCAGACCCCATGCCTCACCCAGATGTGGAGAATGGCAATCATCATGGCACCCGATGTGCGGGAGAGATAGCTGCCGTGCCCAACAACAGCTTCTGTGCAGTAGGAGTGGCATATGGCAGCCGCATAGCAGGTAACTGTCTTCCACTCTCGCCTTGGGAAGCTTTGACTGTGATGAGTCTTCATTCCTTGCCCCTCTTCCATCCTGAAATGTCTTTATCCCACCCTCAACACATGGTGTAGAGCAAAATGTAGCTTATGTTTCTGCAGGACAAATCAATACGTTCATTTCTCAGTGCAATAATTTTTCAAACTTGTTTTTCAACAGCAAAATCCCACTACATTAAACAAAAGTGGAATGTTCTTGATGTGAGGATAGGGGCCCCAAGCCCCACCTGTTCAGTCTTCTCCCTTTTTCTGTTTCTGGTTATGCCCCATCGATGACCCAGGTCGTTGTAATAATGACTCCTTTTACTCAGCTGCTTTATTCTTGTCTGCTTGTATTTTCATGATTTACAAAGTATCTTCTCATTTGATCTTTCTCCATGACGCCATTGTCTTTGGAAAATTCTTTTGCATCTCCCAACTCTCCAGCTCCTAGTCCTACTGATGGTCTCTGTCCTTTGAAGAAGCTGAGCAGCCCTGTTACCTACTGAAGGTTGTTCTATGGCTCCTTCACCTCTCACTCTTTGTCCATCAAGGCAGAAGGTGAAAGGAATGAATGGGAACCCTCCCACCCCATGATTTCTAATAAATTCTTGGGAACCTGCAGACTGAATTGATTGCCTGTGTGTCCCTTGTACTCCAGCAGAGGGTAGCAGTCTTCTGTAAATGAGGATACAGAGGGCGCCAGGAAAAAAAACAACAAAAAAACCCGCTTCCCAAGGGCCAAATCCCTCCTTCCCAAAGCCTCATTTGTCCCTATGTGGCCATCAGGATGTGACCCACCCCGTTTTAGAGGGTAAAATTAGGCGTCCACTCAGGCTTCATGAGTGTAGTAATAGTAATGAGTACCATTTACTGAACATCTGTGTGTCAAACACTGTGCTGGATGTTGGCCATTATTGATAGTGAGAATAAAGAAGGAACCTTGGGGCCTGTATTCTAGCCTATGACTCTTTCCACCAGACCTTGTGATCCTTATGGTCTAAAACCCAACATTGTTGTTGTTTGTTGTTGTTATGTGCCGTCGAGTCAGACTTGACTCATAGCGACCCCTTCTTGGGTTTCCTAGGCAGTATCACTATGGAAGTAGATTGCCCCATCTTCCTTCTGAGAAGTGGCTGGTGGGTTTGAACCACCAGCCTTCTGGTTAGCAGTCAAGTGCCTTAGGCACTACGTTACCAGAGCTCCCAAGACCCAACATTACATTTTAAAATATTTTTGGATAGATAATACATATAGAAGGAACCCTAGTGATGCAATGGTTAAGTGCTCAGCTGCTAACTGAAAGGTCAGCAGTTTGAACCCACCAGTCACTCTATAGAAGAAAAGGTTTGATGATCTGCTCCCATAAAGGCTACACCCTAGGAAACCTTATGAGGCAATTCTACTCTGCCCTGTAGGGCTGCCATGAGTCAGAATCTACTCAGTGGTACACAACAACAATACATATACATGGTACAAAAATTCGGAAGGTTCAAAAGAACCAACAGAGAAAAGTAAGTCTCCCAACTATGGCTCCCCACCATCCAGTTCCACATCTAGGGTTCCAACACTTTTACCAGTTTCTTGTGGGACCAGCATTATTGAGGAGCTGATGTAGCCTTCAATGCCTAGGTATCCGGGTGCTGGATGGACCCCTCACAGACAGCATGGAGGCTGTGGCATTCAACAAGCACTATCAGATCAATGACATCTACAGCTGCAGGTGAGGCCTAGCAAGGAGCCAGGTGAGAAGGCTAGAGGCTTGAGCATCTGGAACTAATCCTCCAACACGAGTGTACACTGGGCTGACTGGGCAGATTCCTGCAGACTTCCTCAAGGGATTCAGCTTAAGGGGGAACTCTAAGTACACTGTCCTCATTTCTACAAATCCCTGGCCACTGGCTTCTCAATCTTCAGCTCCATCTTTAGAACCAAGTGTTACCCCAGCAAGTTACCACATGAGGAGTGCTCCAGCCTGCCCCACAGTCTCATTTATTTGTTCTCTAAACTCATCAGACCTCTGGGAGAAAGTGGGTTTTCCTCTCGAATCACAGGTAAGCTGAAGGCCTAGCACCAGTCCCTGCCACCCTACACGCATGAATATACATGCAGCTTCAGGTTATGGTAGGGTGGGAGGTAGATAAGAAGGAGCTGGGATTGGGCCACCCCCATGGCATTGATAGCACCTATGCTTCCCTGTAACCAGTGCCTCCATTAAATCCATGGCATCATCCAAAAGGTGATCTCTATTCTTAGAGAAAGAATAAAGAACTCCTCAGCCTAAGATCTAAGAACTTACACAGGTTGAACACTTCTTTGTAGATGCTCTACCATAAAGATTTATGATTAGATTTCTAGATTAGGAAAGAGGTGACCCTCTATCCTCATCCACCACTGTGCACTGTTTTACTTCTCTCTGGGCCAAGAAAAAGGATTTTTTAGGGCGTGTTAAAGGAGTCTTGAGCTTGGCAAATTTCCAGGGGCGAGAAGCCCCTTAACATGTACTTCTGTTTTCTACTTTGAAGTGAGGAAAGGACCTTGGTTCTTACATAGAGGAAAGGCCTAGGAACTTCTAGGCAGAGAGGGGGCCAGCTGAGACCAGGAGGCCTGGCTCTGGCTCTGGTTCTTCACTCTGGGTATTCCTCAACAGCTGGGGACCGGATGATGATGGAAAGACAGTGGATGGACCCCATCAGCTTGGAAAGGTAACTGCATGAGGCTATTAAGAGACCTAGACCACCCTCTTCATTTAGTCCCTCTCCCCAGCCTACCCCCATTTGCAGTGATAGACCTATGCTATCTAACGCTGCTGCCTCCTCTTAAGAAGTATATGGGGGCATAAGGGAGCACTTGTTCAGAGATAAATGGAAGAATGCTTTGAGATTGTCTCCTTTTGATTTTGCTGTCTGCTCTCATTCCTGACACCACACTATCATCAGATAAACAGACCATCCATCCAACAGCTGCCCATTTACTTCCTCCCTAGCTTATGTTCATCTTTAAATCTGACCCCTATGCCTAGTGCCCTTTTAACTTTTTTTCCCTTGTCTTTCTAGAAAGGGAAAAGAGGGTGACTGACGTGGTGGATAGAGGTCTTTAGCTCTTTACTGACACCCTGGTGTTTTTTGGTTTTGTTCCTTAGGCTGCCTTGCAACATGGAGTGATTGCTGGGCGCCAGGGATTTGGGAGCATCTTTGTGGTAGCCAGTGGCAACGGGGGCCAGCAGAACGACAACTGCAACTATGATGGCTATGCAAACTCCATCTACACAGTCACCATAGGTAGTGACCAAGTGGTTTCATCTGTGTGTGTATTTCATTCAGGGTGTATCTTGGCATGGCCCTGCTTTGGTGTGTCTGTCTAACTGTAAGCATGCTCTTATCTGTAGGCTCAGATAGTTAGGAGGGACAGACATGCTCCCGAAGGCTCTCACAACTTTGTGAGATGTTGCCATATGCTGGGAACACTTCCAACCCATCATCAGAGATACCACATCATGCTTGCACACCCACCACAGTCAGTTAGCCTCTGCTCTGGCATCTCTTTCCATGGGCCACTTGCCTCCTGCTTGAAGCCTTCCCTGACTCTCCACTGGCCTACATTGAGTGCCTTTCACTTGTGCTCCCTATCCTAGCATTTGCCACTCCCAAATGGTGTTTATTCACTTCCTCAACTTCCTACCGGACTATAAACTCCTTGAGTTCAAGCTGACGGCCTTTTCTATCAGGCCCCAGTGCCGAGCGCAGGGGATGACGCCTAGTAGATGCTTAATAAATGTTTGTTAGAAAATGCATGGATGGATGAATGAGTAGGTATAGAGGTGCAGTGGCTCCAGTTTTAGTCTAGAGCCTATTGAGAGCATGATGTTAGGGTATAGGGAGCTCAGCCACTTGAGGCTGCATCTTCGGGTGATGATCATGGACACTCTGAGGGACCTGGGCCACTGAGATCATTTTTTAAACTCAGGACAGCCCCCAGTTGAAAACTCAAAGTTAACTCTGACATTGTCAGGTCCCTGCATAGGAGACTGGGTGGCACAAATGATTTGAGATTGACAGCTAACCTTGATGGTTAGAACCCACCCAGTGGCTCTTCAGAAGAAAGACCTGGTGAACTGTTTCTGTAAAGATTACAGCCAAGAAAACCCTATGGTGCATGGTTTTACTCTGGTACCCATGGGGTCGCTATGAGTCAGAATCAACTCAATGGCAACGCAGGGTGGTGTTGTTTGCCAGAAGACTAACTCCTTATCTCAGCTTCCGTTGGTCCCACTCTGTGCTAGGTGCTGTGGATGAGGAGGGACGGATGCCTTTCTACGCGGAGGAGTGTGCCTCCATGCTAGCAGTCACCTTCAGTGGTGGTGACAAGATGCTCCGGAGCATTGTGAGTGCCTCCCTGGCCCTCCTCCCCTGCCCCTGTCCCTTCGGACTTCTTTCAGACCTCCCAGCCTTAGTTCTTCTGACTCTGAATATATCTGCCCAAAATGGTTCTTATCTTAAAAATTTTAACTTACAAATGTACATATCATTATAGGAACTACTAAGCATCCCATTGATTAAGCAATTTATTTGTAACATCTCCATTTGGTATAATGTGGGCTTTGGCTCATTTCTGCAGGTTTAAAAACTGCAGTGGAGCATCACCCCATTGCTATTCAACCCTTACATAAATACTGTCAGTCCTGGGTTATGTTCGTCCTCAGGGGTAAACCCAGTCGTTGTCTTTATGGAGTGGTCAGAAAAGGTGGCAGGGAAATGTTTCCCTGCCTTCCTTAGAGCTCTCATTGGAGCCATAGCAAATAAGTATTCAGAGAAAGGGAGTGATGCTTCTCTAGCCAGTGGAACTCTGTAAGAATTCAGGGTCTGGAATGGGAAACTAGTTTGCTCTGTAAACTTTCACCTAAAGAACAAAGGAAAATTTAAAAAAAGAAAAAAATTCACAGTCTGTTGCTACTCCTACTCAGGCTTAGCTCTTCCTAACAGGTTTAAACTAGATCCCTGTACTACCATTACAGAACTCCCTGTCTGCCCCTATTGTCCAGAATAGGGTGACATGGAACAGGGGGCTCCAAGCAAGAGCTGGGCTGGAGCCACATGGTATCAGATTTCTCCAGTGGCCCAGGGTGGAGGGTCTCTAGGGGGCCATTGGGAATTAGGCTGCTTTGTCTTCCTGCTGGGTCAAATTCGTTTTCCAAAACTGAAGTTTTGTTTTGCCAGTACGTGATTTCTGGTCAACACAATGTTCCAGGGCTCTGTGCCAGTTGACCTCTACCCCGTACCCTGGGAAGAAGAGCAAAAGGAGTGGACTAAAGCAAAACAGCACGAGAGGCTTTGCTCAGCAGACTGGGGTCTGTGCACAGGCCAGGCCGGGTCTGGAGGAACGGCAAGAGCATGCTCTGCTCTTCACCCCCCAGCAAACTCAGCCCACCCCTGCCCTGGCCAGGGACCACGGAAAGCTTCCTAAGATAACTTGTTGCCCTCACTTAGTAGTGCCTGGCTTTTCTCTTCCTAACTCAACTCAGCTTCTTCCCCCACCCCCACCTTCCATCTGAACAATAATTTGTCCAGAAAGGAAAGGAGAGTTTACTTAGCTAAGTTCCCATGTTTGGAATGTCCTTTTCTTGGAACCTTTTATTGCCAGTTTCTATTTAATGGCCGGGGCAGTTAGGTGGAGCAGTCTTTCTCAGGGCAAGCCATGGAAGCATGTGCTTCCCACCATTTGGCTGTCTGTGGAAGCTTCCCTGGACTTTCCTGTGACTGCCAGGGGTGCCTGCCACCAGAAGCAGTTCACAGTCTTCACAGCTGCATGCTAGACTGGTCCCTGCGAGGCCGTTTCCTTAACAGGAAGAAATCAATCTACTGCCTGGCATAGACCAGGCTTCCCATTCTCATTGAGACTACAACTTGGAGGGTTGTTTTCCTTTTCTTCTGGGAATGCACAGTGTCTAAGTGAAAATTACATCTCTTGGCAGCTGCTGTGGCAGCTGGAAGGGAAGCAGTGAGTACAGTGGAGAAAGGGCAGCTCTTGGCAGAAGTCAGCACCCTGGTATCTGACCAGAAGAGAAATTCTCTGATCTTAACACTGGCACCATGGGCAATGGATCCAAAGTTCCATGTAGTGGTAGGCAGATTTCAGCAGGGCTCCTCCTCAGGGAAACCCTTTGTGGCTCCACGGTTGATTAGAGTATGAAAAGAACTTAATGTCAGACACATGCCCTCCCACACACACGCAACTCTTCTCCCCACTCCTACACTCGTCTCCCACCCCAAAACTGAGGTAGAAAAGGGAGGCTCATAGAAACCAAGCAGAGGCACCCAGCCTTGAATAGTGAGGCCACTTGTCCCATAGATTGCCAGGACCGGCCAGCAGTGTAGACACTAATTCCACATTGCGCCCACAGGGTGGGCAAGGAGACAGCTCCCTCTCCCTGGGAACAAAACACCCTTTGTTAGCACTGATGTCACTCCAGCCCCTATCGCAGTGCTGCCAAGTTGGATTTCCTTGAATGGTGCCGTCACCGTTGTCCCAGCTCCAGCTGGGGCCCAGGAGCTCCCCGGCCACTTCCTCTGTCTAGGATGGTGGTGGAGATTGGAGGGTTGGGGTGGAGAATTTGGGAATGGGCTGTTAAGGGTACAAGAGTTGGGAAACAAGGCCTCACTCACATCTCCATCTTCTTTCCCTCTACAATCAGACCCTCATAAGTAACTCTCATTTTTATTACCCTTTTCTCAGTTCTCCAGAGGTTCTCTTGTGAGGCTTAGAAGATCTAGAGCCACCTTTTTCCTGACCTGCTTGAGGGCTTCCCTCTAGTCAAAGACTCAGCTCTAACAAAAGCAGGGCTGACCTGAGAATCCCAGTCTGAAGACTAGTAGTCCTGGCCCCTCTGTCCACAATACCTTTTAACTCAGTCTCTAACCGACTCTCCTCTCCCTCATTTCACTTCCCAGGTGACCACTGACTGGGATCTTCAGAAGGGCACAGGCTGCACTGAGGGCCACACAGGGACCTCAGCTGCAGCACCTCTGGCAGCTGGCATGATAGCCCTGATGCTGCAGGTGCGACCCTGCCTTACATGGCGTGATGTCCAGCACATCATTGTCTTCACAGCCACCCAGGTGAGATTCTAGCAGGCAGACAAATGGCCTAGCCCAGGCTACCCTAGAGTTCTGGTTCTCAGGATTTGTAAGTATCAGGAAGCCTCAGATTCAAAGTGTCCTAAATGTTAGGTTACAAAGTCCCTTTCAGGACTACAGACCTGAACTCATTTGTACCTATTCTGCCTGATGCTACTTTACCTGCAAAGAAAAGCTCTGGTTGGGCTCCCTAATTCTGGGCCTCTGCCTCCTGGTCCCCTTCTCTAGAAGCAAGCCATTGGGATGCCCAATGGTGGGGCTATTGTCCCAGCTTTCCTTGGGGATCTATTCCTAGTAGCCTTAGTGGGAGAGTCTGGATGGGATCAGCAAGCAAGAAAATCAGAGTTAGGATGCTCAGATGACACTGGAAATGCGAGAGACTAACCAAGACCTCTGTCCTTTCAGTATGAAGATCGCCATGCAGATTGGGTCACCAATGAGGCAGGCTTCAGCCATAGTCATCAGCATGGTTTTGGCCTGCTCAATGCTTGGAGACTCGTCAATGCAGCCAAGGTGAACAAGGGTTGGCAAGGCAGGGCACCCTGTGTGAAGTAACCCAGGGAGGGGGCTAACTGCCTAAAATATTCCCTAGCAAGTTGTTGGTGCTTACTATATATTCATTCATTTTGTTTATTTGACCACTTTTTTTTTTTTTTAATCGTGATTTGGGTGATAGTTTACAGAGCAAATTCAGTTTCCATACGACAGTTCACATACACTTTGTCTCATGACATTGACTACAATTTACCCCGATGCAACAGCTACCCCCCCTTTTTTCTGATAGTTACCCCTTCCCTGTGTATTTCACTTTTGTCCTCACCTCAGCCAGTTCCCATTTACAAATGAAAAAGCAGACTCAACACTTTAACTAAAGCTTTCAAACTAGTAGTAGAAAGTAAATGGGACCTGAGTATAGCTTGGGCTCTCAGGGTGCTGGTCCTCATCTCCATCCCTTGACACAGCCACATTTCATTGATTTGGTGCCAGAGGGAACGTTCCAGGGTGTCAGCAGGACCTCGGGGGTCATGAGGTCTTGGAGTGACATGAGGTCTTGGCATAAGGTAATAAGGAGAGGAAAAGTGAAAACAAAGCTAGGCCTTAAACATGTTGATGAGAGACAGAGAGAATGTGTGTATAATCAGTCTTGTTTGTTCATCCTCCATTCTTCCCTTTTCTTTAATAGATCTGGACATCTGTCCCTTATTTAGCTTCATATGTCAGTCCTGTGTTAAAGGAGAATAAGGCTATTCCACTGTCCCCCCGTACCCTGGAGGTCCTGTGGAATGGTAAGTAGTCAGCAAGAAGGGGGTTAATCTTGGGCCTGAGGTTTAGGGCGGGGAGATGGGGAAGTTAAACTCATCCTCCCTGCTGGATTCTACCCCCCTTCCTTTAGAAGCTGAGCTCCAGCCAAACCTGTGAGTTTTCTTTGACCATTTTAGGACATGTTGTTGCTTCTGAGTTGGCTGTTCCCCTGGCTGCTTAAAACAAGACCTCTCTCCTGAGTTACTACTAGTGGAAAGGAGCTGCTGGGCAACTGCTTAGAAAGGCTGGTGGGAGGAGTGGGTTTGGGACGTGGGGAGAGTAGGTAAGAGTTGAAAGAAGTTCCTTTGACTTCCATGCTAAGAACTTGCCAGACAACTCTGTTCAGCCTAGTGGCCTTTGGATGAAGTAAAGGAGTTGGGAGTTTCTTCCTTTGATTCTCACACGTACCTAATACAGAGAGAGTCTGTTGGGGTGGTGCAGAGGAGCGTGCAGAGGTCTCCCTAGACTTCAGTGGCCCCTCCTCTGCCCCTGCCTCCATAGAGCCCAGGGTCAGTCACTAGGACTGTCCCAAAGAGGCGAGGGGTGTATATCTTCTAGGCCAGTGGTGTGGCTTTTATGATGAGCACAGAGGCTGAACCTTTTCCCAGAGAATAGAAAGCTGGAGTAGAACACTGTGCTAGAGGATCATCTGTCTGCAGATTTCCTGGAGTTCCTGCTTCAGGATATTCTTCCATATCCAGCTCCTTGAGGAATTTTGACCAGCAAACTTATTCACTACTTTTTTGGTGAAGGTTGAAGCATGTCATGCTTATGCTCAAAGTAGAACTCTGTCCTCACTGTCCCCATCCTCCTAAGAAGTGACCAACCCAGAACAGCAGTAGGAGAAGAAATGGCCAAAGACGGGAGCTCAGAAGGGCAAGTCAGAGGCAGCTCCCTGTGTGGGTGGAGGTTTTGTCAAGAAGAGTTCAATTGTCTCTTTTCTTAACCATGTCCAGCACTCGCCCAGTGTCCCTTGGTGTGGAAAGAAATCCATGTATCCCATTCATTGCGTTCTCTGTAAAAGGCATGCTGTCTTGGAAAGGGCATAACACATCAGCCAAGCCACAGATGTACAGAAACATTCCCAGGAATGCAGTTCAGTCCAAACCACCTGGCTTTCCGCAAGCATATCTTGGAAATAGAATGCCTTTAACTTTTATCTCCCATCCAGAGCTACTTCCCATCATTTAAGTAACAAAGTAATCCACAGTCACATCTGTCAAATAAGTGAGTTGAATTAGAAGAGTATTAGGGTCCCTTCCAGCTTTGTTATTTTTTGCTTCTCACTAACCAGTAGATGTTGGCCCAGAATGTCTGACAGACTTCTCTACTTGGGCAACTGCTTGTGTTTGTCTCTAGAAAGCAAGCGAAATGAATTGTCCTGTTGTTGTTGTTATTTGCCATCGAGTCGGCCCCGACTCATAGCGACCCCTCCTTGGGTTTCCAAGGCAGTATCACTACGGAAGTAGGAATGCCCAACCTTCCTTCCGAGGAGTGGCTGGTGGGTTTGAACCGCCAGCCTTCTGGTTAGCAGTCAAGTGCCTTAGCCACTATGCTACCAGAGCTCCTAGATGGGGCTAAATGGGAGATAGTATAATGGAGAGAGAAGGATGAAGAAAAGAGTTTTGCTAGTGGGGACCTTCATCTGTTTGGAGGGCAGCAAGCAGGAGTGTTACTAATTTCTGAGGTCAGCAAAGATACCTTCCCCTCTGGCGTGACTACATTTTACCCTGAGCAGACAGAACAGATGGTACAGGCTTGTGGGCTTGCTTAGAGAATGAAGGAAGTTAAGTCCAGTCCATGTAGAGTTGAGCAACTCAGTCTCAAACAGGCAAGCTATATGGTCTTTCCACCAGGACCTGGGGAAGGAGAGTTTAATTTTCATAAGGGGGAAAGAACTGAACATCCTTAAGATAGAGAAATAGGTGAAAAACTATTAAGACTCCAGAACAGCGTTGTCTAGGAACTTTCTGTGGTGATGGAAGCATTCTCTTTCAGTTGCTCAGTTCACCGACCACTTGCCATCTAAGGCTATTGATCACTCAAAATGTGGTTAGTGTGACTGAGGAATGCAATTTTTTAATTAGTTTAAATTTAAATATCCAAAGATAGCTAATGTATTGGGAAGTGCAGTTGTACAGCAAGATAGATTTTTATTTCTCCCCACTGACAGGAGGCTATGGGGGAAAAGGGATTGGAATCCCTTGCCTTGGTTTCTTTGGATCTAACTCTGAGTCTGAACTCTCTACCAGAGGGTAGGAGGGAGAGTGGGGTTTTGGGAGGAATGTCTTGTACACATTAGTCTTAGACACCAGTGTGTGTTAAAAGATTCCCGAACACCTACTTGTATCTCTCCTTTTATCCTTTTTTGCTATTTCTGAGTGTACTGGCTGGCCCTTCTGGCAATGCAAGGAATGCTGTTCCCTCCCCTCTCCATGTCTTCCCTCTTAAACCCACTCTTCCCCTCTCCACTGATTCTTCCTTTTGCCTTCAAACATCTTCAGTTCACCTATTTGGAAAGAAATTAAAGTCCTTGCCACTCTTCAACCTGAAACCTCTTCAAATGAATCATTCACTTTTACTGCACACTCCCTCTGCCAATGAGGACTCAGTGCTCCTTTCCTGATTAGTTCCGGGGACCCCTTCACAATTCATCCATCTTAACCTTGTTATTACTCTGACCCCCTTTCTTCCTCTAGCTTATGTGACCTCCTTTGCTCCATAACCCTCTTCTGGCTTCTCTGCCCTAAGTACTTGTTTCTTCTTATTACTCCCAAACCATGAGTATCCTATGACTCAGTCCATGACTCTATGCTCTCTCGACATTCTCTGCCTCAGACAGTGCATCTTTGTTTACAGCTTTACCTACCACATCCTCATTAATGAGTCCAAGGTCCAGATCTCTCACTCTGATTGATCCCTTCCAGTAAGAGGGATAAAGATTTTCATAGTTTACACAAGATTATGGGCAAATATGGCCCCAGGATCTTCTGGGACAGGGAATAAGAGTTGAAAAAGACCTCAACTTACCTAGGGCTGAATGATGATGATGATAAGACAATGATTATATACTAAGATCTGAGTGCTTATTACATGCCAAGTACTTTTATAAGTGTTAGCTCATTTAATGTGTTAACTTATTTATTCTAGTAGAAATAGTTCTACTACATTCACATGTATTGCCATCCAAGTCCCTGTACACACATACCAATAAGAAATATGTATGTAGTGTACTGCTGTGTATACTGCTAACACAGATAAGCACTCACAGGTGCCTTTTTGGATTCTATTCTGTTCCGTAATGTTTTATAATATGAAATATACTCACCTGTAAGTCCCTTCTCTGCCACATTAATACTCTTGTTCAACTCTGCCATGAACATTTTCCTTCATCTTTCTATTCCTGAGTCACTGCGCCCATTTGGAAATTCCACCAGTATATTACATTTAACATGTACAGAAATTTAGAATTCATTATCACCTCCCAAAAGCCAGCTTGCCTTCCAAACTTCCATTTCTGTCAGTGTCATTACCATTCCATGGGCTCCAAACTTGAAACCCTAGAGTTTTCAACTTTTTATCCATTGCCTCTCCCCAGGCCTTTCCCTAAACTTTTGACATTGAAAGGGCTGGGAGAGGAAAGAAACCTCTAAAGAAAACAAAGAAGAGATGGCCTGAGAGGAGAAAAGCCAAGAGAATGGTATCATAGGAATTAAGGACAGTTTCATTGAGAGAAGGAAAGTAAGACAAGGATGAAGAGCATCACTGGGTTTTGCAAAGAAGCCATTAGTGACCTCAAGAAAAGTAATTTGAGTGTATTCATAGGGGCAAAAGCTAGATTGCAGTTGGTTGAATAATGGGGGACAGGAAAAGATTTGTGGTTAAACTTGACAAATTGAACCCTTATTTCTCCACTTTCCCAAAACCAAAAAAAGAACCAAACTCATTGCCATCAAGTCGATTCTGACTCATAGCGACCCCCTTAGGGTTTCCAAGGTGGGAAATCTTTTTTTTTTTTTTTTTAATTGTGAGTTGGGTGAAGGTTTACAGAGCAAATTTACTTTCCATACAGCAGTTCCCATATACTTTGTCTCAAGACATTGACCACAATTCAATTTACCACAATGCAACAGCTCCCCTCCCACTTTCTCCCCATAGTTACCTCTTCCCTGTGTCCATCCCTCCATGGACTACTGTCCCCTGAGCTGTCTCCCTGTGCAGAAGTAACCCTTCTTTCTCCCAGGATTGTACTCTCCAAGGAGAGTATCTACCTGAGGTAAATGTTCAACTCATATGCTTGTCTTTTGTCTGGCTGGAAACCACAGGTGTGGGTTCAATTCCAGACCTGAAGGGCAGCTAGGGGCCATAGTCTCAGTGGTTCCACCAGGCTCTATTGTACCAGCAAACCCATCCCCCCCCCTTTTTTTTTCCTCCAAATGATTTTTGAGTTTTGTTCCACATTGTTCTCCCTCTCTATCAAGGATCTCCTACATAGATCCCCTTTCAAGTGGATGACCGTGGTAGCCGGGCACCATCTAGTTCTTCTGGTCTCATAGTCATATAAGCTGCAGATCGGATGGTGTACAAGGTGGGAAATCTTTACGGATGTAAATTGCCTACTCTTCCTTCTGTGGAGGGGCTGGTGAGTTTGAACAGTCAAATGCCTTAGGCTCTACGCCACCAGAGCTCCTTTTCTGCTTTTCCAAAACCTTGCCAAAATAAAAATAAAGGAATAAGAAAGTTATGAGCATAAAGACTAAGAAGATGAAAGAGGAAACCATAGCAAAAAAAAAAAAAAAAAAAAAGGTCTCTTTAGATAATCTTGGTAGATGGAAAATGAATGGAGAGATGATAAAATTGAATAACAGATACCTGAAAGGAAAATACTAAGACAAGCCCATTCATGCCACAGAATCCCAAAAGTCTCATGACTTGGAGGCCCCATGTAGCTCAGAAGACAGAGATGCGGTAAGAGACTAAAAAT